GAAGAGGAGATACCGTAGAGTGAGAGGTGAAAGGGAAGGTAGGGAGGAGGAATATTCTGAAAGGCGAAAGAGAAGAGGGAGAGAGAAAATACAGATAAAGAGACAGACCGAGAGATAGAGAGAGTGGAGGAGGGGAAGAGCATGGAGAAATAGAGACAAAGAAAGACAGAAACAGACAAAAAAGGACAGAGAGAAAGAATGAAGGAAAGAGAAATGGAAGGGAAAAGAGGAAGTGAGGCAAATAGATAAAAGGACAGAGAGAGAGAGAGAGAGAGAGAGAGAGAGATTAGTGTGAGGGGAGAGGGTAGTCGAGTCTTCCCACCACCCCACATACCAGATAGGTCATGGGCACACACTGTTCCCCCACGGCCCACCTTCATACACCAGATAGGTCATGGGCACACACTGTTCCCCCCACGGCCCACCTTCATACACCAGATAGGTCATGGGCACACACTGTTCCCTCACGGCCCACCTTCATACACCAGATAGGTCATGGGCACACACTGTTCCCCCCACGGCCCACCTTCATACACCAGATAGGTCATGGGCACACACTGTTCCCCCACGGCCCACCTTCATACACCAGATCGGTCATGGGCACACACTGTTCCCCCACGGCCCACCTTCATACACCAGATCGGTCATGGGCACACACTGTTCCCCCACGGCCCACCTTCATACACCAGATAGGTCATGGGCACTGTTCACCTCTCCCCCCACACGTTAGCCTATTAAGGGACACTTGAGTCTCCAGTACACTCGGACACTTGGCACTGCACTCAAGGGCCTTCACTTCCCAAACTGTTAAATCAGGTACCGGTTCACAGCTGGGGATACCTCGGTGTGCGAACCAGTGACACCCAGGACAGGAGGTGAACGCTATATCCACTCGGCCACCGCATTAGTGGTTCAACTGGTTCACCAAACACCATGACACTAAAATGGCTTCCAAAATACTCTTAGACTCTACCTAAGCTAGATACGTTCTCTCAGCTGTTACTTGAGGGTAAATAAAGGCAAAAAATATCGTCTTGCGAACTTTAAAGACTTGAGAAGGTTGGAACAAAACGCCAGGAATTTGCGGTTATTTTACCTGTTGTTACTCCCACCTGTCGGCGATTTATGGCTCAATATAAATAAACATCCCGAGTATTAAGGATTTAGCGGGGGAGGAGAACTGAGTCTTCCTCCCGTGATGAGTTATGGCGCCACACCATCTTTATTATTATTAGTATTATTATTATTGTTGGCAGGAAAAACGGGTGTTGGTTTGCGCGCGCAGCCTCACCGCCCCAGCCAATCAGCGCCTCTCAAGCCCAAGGGTACGGCCAGATTATACTGTAGCTTAAGTTAATTTCATTCTTGTGTTTATCCAACGGGTCATTTGGTGCATAAATGGCGGAGTGTGGAGTTTTTATTGGCGTATTAGTCTGTTTATCGGAGCTTATCCACCCTAGGAGGATCAGGTCCTCGCCATTACCCAGGACATAGAGGAATTCCTTCGCTACCTCACTAAATCTAACTTTTTTTTTATCAATCTTATCCGTTATCGTAAGTAGCTATAACACGTATTTATTTTTATGAATTATTTCTTTATATATTTAGAATTTTTGGATATTTCTGGATGTCGCTTAATTCTCCATATATAACGTCAAAAAATAATCATGATTTTTGTCAGGGGGGTTCCGTGAGATCTGTTGCCATGGTGACTAACTGTAAACAAACATGAATTGTAGGTTTAGCGATTATTATTAATTAGTAGTAGTAGAATTATGCAATACAAGAATCGGTATGTGCTCGAGACTCGTTTAGAGAGAGAGAGAGAGAGAGAGAGAGACTGCCATCATCAGTGTACGTGGCGGGACCAAAGCCAAAACATTGTGGTATCTTTCCCGTGTACACACCAGTCTACCACCACTACCACCACTACCGCCATTTTCATCCACCGCCACCTACCACATTTATCCACCATCTATCACCATTATTTTCCACCATCTACCACAATTATCCACCATCTACCACTAGTATTATCCCCCACCATCAACCACAATTATACCACTATCACCATCTACCGCAATTATCCACCACCACCCCATCTACCACCCACCACCACCACACCCACCCTGAGCCACCCACCTCTCACCCTCCCTCCCTCCTACACAACCCACCTCCGTCATTTATATTCACCTGCCCGTGATTCCTGCCTCCCTCCCTCCCTCCCTCCACACCTTCCTTCACTTCTACCTCACCCTTCCTTTTCCCCTCTATGCCTCTCTCCCTCTTTCCTTCCCTTCACCCCTTCCTTAGCCTCTTCCTCCACTCCCTCCCTTCACCCCTTCATTCTCTTCTCCCTCCCTCCCTCCTCGTCATAACGTTTTCTCTCCTTTGTTGACAGAAAAAGAGAGAGAGAGAGAGAGAGTTTGTAGGCCATAGCGAAGAGATGCCACAAGATAGATAACTAGATGTGTGCGACTGTTGACCCACACACACACACACACATCCTCAAGGCTTCCAGGTGCGACAGTTAGCGTTCTCGAGCGGAAAGGTCCTACCCCAGGAGAACCTCGCACCTCTCTCTCTCTCTCTCTCTCTCTCTCTCTCTCTCTCTCTCAACACAATAGTCTCTAAATCGTGACAGGAAAAAATAGTCAAATATTTTTACTTTTCACTCTTACTTAAAAACATTTTATTTTACAGAGGAAGTGTTGGGGGGTGGGGGGTGTTAGGTGAGGGGAGGGAGGGTTAGGAAGGAGTGAGTGAGTGGAAGGGATTGACAGGTCGTATTTAAGAGGTCGTGTGGTCGTGGCATAAAGGTGTTCGTTGTACACTGGGGTTTTGAGGAGTGATGGAGGAGGTTAGGAGGGAGAGAGGAGGGAAAGAGAGATAAAGCGAGGGAGAGAGGAGGGAAACGGAGAGAGAGGAAAAAGAAGGAAAGGAAGGGAGAGAAGTAAAGAAGGAGGGAGAGAGAAAGGAAAGAGGGAGGGAGAGAGAAGGAAAGAGGGAGGAGTCGGTGGAGAATAACGCTTAGAAAGTCGCTTGATCCGCGTAAGTTGAGTTGCCAGTTAGCTCCACAACTCGCTAGTCTTCCTGTACAACCTTTAACTCACAACAGACCTGAGTTATTTACCTATAAGATCTATATATAAGAAAGTGTTAATTATCTCCGTGTGAGTGTGAGTCCATGTCGTGTACCTTCCGTGAGTCCATCAGCGGCCACCCTCAAGTGTGTGTGTGAGTGTGAGTCCATGTCGTGTACCTTCCGTGAGTCCATCAGCGGCCACCCTCAAGTGTGTGTGTGTGAGTGTGAGTCCATGTCGTATACCTCCCGTGAGTCCATCAGCGGCCACCCTCAAGTGTGTGTGTGAGTGTGAGTCCATGTCGTATACCTCCCTGTGAGTCCATCAGCGGCCACCCTCAAGTGTGTGTGCGGGAGTGAAACCATGCCGTATACCTCCCTGTGAGTCCATCAGCGGCCACCCTCAAGTGTGTGGAGGTGAGTCCATGTCGTATACCTCCCGTGGAGTCCATCAGTGGCCACCCTCAAGTGTGTGTGTGAGTGTAGTCCATGTCGTATACCTCCTGTGAGTCCATCAGCGGCCACCCTCAAGTGTGTGTGTGTGAGTGTGAGTCCATGTCGTATACCTCCCGTGAGTCCATCAGCGGCCACCCTCAAGTGTGTGTGTGTGTGTGTGTGTGTGTGTGTGTGTGTGTGTGTGTGTGTGTCTCTCACTTTAGGGGCACTCTCTCTGTCTCACCATGAAGGCTCTCTCTCTGTCAATTACCTTGGAAGAACCGTTTCTGTCTCTTCTCACCTTGGAAGAACTGTCTCTCTGTCTCTTTTGCCTGACTGAAGAACCACAATTATCTGTCATACCTTAATCGAGTGAAGAAATTGTCTCATCAGTTTACAAGTTCATTTCCTGTCACCTTGTTCGAGTAATTATGTCCCCCCCCCCCCTTTAAAAAAACCACACACCATTTTCTTTCACTTCTCGTCCAACACAGTTTGTTTTGGTGAGTAAATAAATAGATTAAATTACTTAAGACTATGTAGGTAGATTCGACAGGTAGATAATTACATGTTATTAAATACTCAGGTGAAGGTTATTTGTACTTGGGATATGTGAGAAATGTTTTGGGGTTAATATTTGATAAAGTACATATCTGAGAATACATGTTGATTTGTATATAGGATGACGGAACATAACAAAATAGGAACACTTTATTGCGTTTTTGGAGGACGTTTATAATTTTGGTGTTATTTTGATTATAATGTCTCCAAAAATCGTACTATGTCCATGGCAAGTTTTCTGTGCTGCAGTAAATTTCGCGGGTTAGGTTAAGTTAGGTTAGGTTAGCATTAGCGTGGTTAATCTTTAGGTGAAATAAGGTGGGTTAGCTTAGCGTCAGGGGGGTTAATCCTTAGGTGAAGTAAGCAGGATTAGGTTATGTTAGGGTGGTTAATCTTCAGGTGATCCAGTCTGGCCATACCTGGAGACCACAGTGACGGCAGCAACAGATGTATATAATTCTGATTTTGGCAGTATTGATTAATTACCTGTTCCCTTACCTTTCACATTAATTACCTGTTCCCTTACCTTTACCATTAATTACCTGTTCCCTTACCTTTCACATTAATTACCTGTTCCCTTACCTTTACCATTAATTACCTGTTCCCTTACCTTTACCATTAATTACCTGTTCCCTTACCTTTACCATTAATTAATTACCTGTTCCCTTACCTTTACCATTAATTACCTGTTCCCTTACTTTACCATTAATTACCTGTTCTCTCCTTACCATTAATTACCTGTTCCCTTTACCTTTACCATTATTAATTACTGTCTTTACCATTAATTACCTGTTCCTTTACTTTTACCATTAATTAATTACCTGTTCCCTTACTACATTAATTACCTGTTCCCTTACCTTTACCATTAATTACCTGTTCCCTTACCTTTACCATTAATTAACCACCTGTATCTCTCACCTGACAGGAGGCGCAACTCTCTGAAGGAACAGATGTAATGGTCGTCAGCCCAGCTCCTTCACCACCATGGCTACCGCTCTCTTCTCCCTCCCTGCCCAACCTCTCCATGCCCTCCCTACTGCCCCCACGCATACCCACCAGCCCCAAGAGCCCTCCGAGGATCACCACCATGCCCACACGGGGGAGCATGGGCGCCTTGCCCCGAGGCCGCCCATGGAGATACGGGCGTGGGTACGGGCGTCGATTTGGGTACTCTCACCGGACGAAGGATTACGCTTAAACCCAGAAGGACTCTGTCCCTCTCCCCTACACCAGGTATGTTCTACCCTACTTGGTTTATTTTAGGTTTATCGGTGTTTTTGTGTTATTTATTGGTGTTTGTGGTTTATCTATGATTTATGACGTCATTTAATAGTTTATTGATGTTTTTGGTGGTTTAGCGGTGTTTTAATGCTGTTTTGTGATGTTTTGGTGGTTTAATGATCTGGTGGGTTATTGGTGTTTTATAGTGATTTATTGGTCATTTTTCCTCACCCTTAAACCCAAGAGGACTTTCATCATCTCTTCTGCAACGGTAAGTCACCAACCACCACCTCCTTGGTTTATTTTCAGTTAATTGGATGTGATTTAGTGATTAGTTAACGCTGTCCTTAGTGGTTTAGGATTATTTTGGTGATGGTTTATCCTTTTAAAAACAGTGGTTTAAATCTGAGTGTTTTATGTAGAGAGAGAGAGAGAAGGTAGATAAGTGGACGACGAAGAGGAAACGGAAAACTGAATAAAGAGAGGGAGGGAGGGAGGGAAGATAGGTGAGGGGGCAGGAGAGGCCTACCACCACAAGGCTGTCGACAAGATCACTTGGAGTCTCACAGCTCAAAGATCGATTCACGTTATGTGATGATGATGATAATGAGTAGGACTAGTGGTAATAATAATGACGATGATGATGATAATGAGTAGGACTGGAATAATAATGACGATGATGATGATAATGAGTAGGACTAGTGGTAATAATAATGACGATGATGATGATGAGTAGTGTAGTCGTAATAATAATGATGAAATTATTATTATTATTATCAGTTTGTATTTTATTTGTTTTCAGTTTTATTTTATTTTCACTGTTATTTCATCATCATCATTATTAATACTACCACAAGTGAGTGTGGGAAGTGTCGCTCAAGCGGGTGGTGGTGGATTATGAATTTCTCGGTCAGGGAAGGCTGGGGGACCGCACGAAACTATTTCTGCGTCCCGTTATCTCAGAGGGTGGACCGCGCTGGACCAGGGGGCCGGCGTACCAGGGTGGGTTAATGTGTATAGGGGTGGGTTAAGGTGAACCAGGGTGGTTAGGACGGACCAGGGTGACCAGGGAGGGTTAGGGTGGACCAGGGAGTAGGGGGACCGGGGAGGTTAGTGTACCGGGTGGGGTTAGTGTGACCAGTGGTTAGTGTGACCAGGGTGGGTTAGGGTGGACCAGGGGGGGTTAGTGTATAGGGAGAGAAGGTTGACTCAAGCGAAGCCACACAAAGACTGGGGAGGAAGAAGAGATGAGGGGGTGGGAGAAGAGGGGGTGGTGGTGGAGGGGGAAGATGAGGGGTGGGAGAAGGAGAGGGTAGTGGTGGGGGAGGGGAGAAGAGGAGGGTGGAGGGAGAAGAGGAGGGGTAGTGGTGGAGGGGGAAGATGAGGGGTGGTGGAGAAGAGGAGGGGTAGGGGGGAGGGGAAGAGGAGGGGTAGTGGTGGGAGGGGGAAGATGAGGGGGGTGGGAGAAGAGGAGGGGTAGGGTGAGGGGGAAGAGGGTGAGGAGGGTGGTGGAGGGGGGGAGATGAGGGAGGGGGAAGGAGGGGTGGTGGAGAAGAGGAGGGTGTGATGGTGGAGGATGAGGGGTGGTGGAGAGGAGGGTGGTGGTGGAGGGGAAGAGGAGGGTGGTGGTGGAGGGGGAGAGATGGGGGGTGTGGTGGAGAGAGGTGAGGAGTGGTGGGAGGAGAGAGGGGAGAGAGAGGGTAGTGGTGGAGGAGATGAGGGTGGTGGAGAGGAGGGTAGTGGTGGAGGGGAAGAGGGGGGGGTGGTGGAGAGAGAGGTGGTGGAGGGGGGGGGAAGATGGGGGTGGTGGAGAGAGAGAGGGAGGGTGATGGTGGAGGGGGAGATGAGGGGTGTGGTGGAGAGAGAGGAGGGAGGGTGAGTGGTGGAGGAGATGAGGGGTGGTGGAGAAGAGGAGATGAGTGGTGGAGGAAGAGGAGGGTAGTGGTGGAGGGAAGATGAGGGGTGGTGGAGAGAGGAGGTAGTGGTGGAGGGAGATGAGGGGTGGTGGAGAAGAGGGAGGGGTGATGGTGGAGGAGATGAGGGGGTGGTGGGAAAGGAGGGTAGTGGGTGGAGGGAGATGAGGGGTGGTGGAGAGGAGGTAGTGGTGGAGGGAGATGAGGGGTGGTGGAGAGAAGAGGGAGGGATAGTGGTGGAGGGGGGAGATGAGGGGTGGTGGAGAAAGGGAGGGGTAGTGGTGGATGGGGAAGAGGAGGGGGTAGTGGTGGAGGGGAAGATGAGGGGTGGTGAGAGGGAGGTGAGTGGTGGAGGGGGAGGATGGGGGTGGTGGAGAAGAGGAGGGGTAGTGGTGGAGGGGGAGATGAGGGGTGGTGGAGAGAGAGGGAGGGGTGGTGGTGGAGGGGAGATGAGGGGTGGTGGAGAGAGGAGTGGTGGAGGAGATGGGGGTGGTGGAAGAGGAGGGTAGTGGTGGAGGGAGATGAGGTGGTGGAGAGTGGAGGGGTGGAGGGAGATGAGGGTGGTGGAGAGAGGAGGGGTAGTGGTGGAGGGAGAGAGGAGGGTAGTGGTGGAGGGAAGATGAGGGTGGTGGAAGGAGGGAGGTAGTGGTGGAGGAGATGAGGGTGGTGGAAGAGGAGGGTAGTGGTGGAGGGGGGGATGAGGGTGGTGGAGAAAGGGGAGGGTAGTGGTGGAGGGGGAAGATGAGGTGTGGTGGAGAAGGGGAGGGGTAGTGGTGGAGGAGATGAGGGGTGGTGGAGAGGAGGGGTAGTGTGGTGGAGGGAAGATGAGGGGTGGTGGAGAGAGGAGGGTAGTGGTGGAGATGAGGGGTGGGGAGAGAGGGGGGTGGTGGGGGGAAGATGGGGGTGGTGGAGAGGAGGGAGGGTGGTGTGGAGAGAGATGGGGGTGGTGGGGAGAAAGGGGGAGGGTGGTGGTGGAGGGGGAAGATGGGGGTGGTGGAGAAAGGGAGGGGAGTAGTGGTGGAGGGGGAGATGGGGGTGGTGGGGAAGGGGAGGGGTAGTGGTGGAGGGAAGATGTGGGGTGGTGGAGGTGGGAGGTTGTGAAGGAGAAAGAGTGGGGGTGGTGGTGATGGTGAGGAGGGATGGTAGGGATGATAGGTGCACTGAACTCCCTAGCTAAGAAGTTATATCATAGTTAAGGAGAAAGTTTTAACTTAGGAACCCTTGAGAATCCATCGTAACCTGATATCGTATGTAAATGAGTTATATGAATATCGCATCTCTATTTAAGGGTAAAATATCATATACGAAAGTTGCAGACTGTAGGTGTGTGTTGGGTGGGTGGTAGAGACTGTGGGTGTGTGTTTGGGTGGGTGGTGAGACTGTGGGTGTGTGTGTTGGGTGGGTGGTAGAGACTGTGGGTGTGTGGGTGGGTGTGGTAGGGGACTGTGGGTGTGTGTTGGGTGAGGCTGTGGTGTGTTGGGTGGGTGGTAGAACTGTGGGTGTGTGTTATTGGGTGTGTGTTGTTGGGGTGTGTGTGTTGGGTGGGGCTGTTGGGTGGGTGGGGACTGTTGGGTGTGTGTTGGGTGGTGGGGACTGTGTGTTGGGGTGGGGTGGGGACTGTGGGTGTGTTGGGGTGGGGACTGTGGGGTGTGGGGGTGGGGACTGTGGGTGTGTGTGGTGGGTGGGGGCTGTGGGTGTGTGTTGGTGGTGTTAGAGACTGTGGGTGTGTGGTTGGTGGGTGGTAGAGACTGTGGGTGTGTGGGTGGTGGGGACTGTGTGTGTGTGTTGGGTGGGTGGACAGGGGACTGTGGGTGTGTGTGTGGGGTGGGTGGTGGGGCTGTGTGGGGTTGGGGCTGTGTGTGTGTGTGTGTGTGGGGTGGTGGGGACTGTGTGGGTGTGTGTGTGTGTTTGTGTGGGGACTGTGGGTTCGGTGGGCTTTTGTTTGGAAATATCTGGGCTCCGTGGTTCTCCCCGGAGTTAGACTATTCTAAATATTTATAAAGGACTGGTACTGTAGGTGAGAGGATTTAATGACTTTGCAGAAAAAAACCATTAGCGCGTGGCCGTGACAATGCATTCCATTGCTTAGTTATTATTACACTATAATAACACTCCTAATGATGATGTAACAAACAAAGAACAATAACATTGTTCCTAGAATGAAATATGAATGGAGTGGAGCAGGATGCCAGAGTTGAGGTGACTGGGGATCTCAACCAGCAGTAGGTGAAGAATTAGAACACGTGGCCGACGTGTATAAGGAGGAGAGAGTTTCATTTATTAATGTATTATTATTGATCTTTACTCAGACAGCTAAAATGGTATACTTGAATGTTTAATTAAAGACAGACAGACGGATATATAACCAGAGAGATAGAAACAGATACTAGTGAGACACAAACAGACGGACAAAAGGACCTTCACACACACAGACTAACAAATATTTCTGCATGAAAACACCAATTATTAATATCATCTCGTAGCCATTATGTTTATTATGCGCTGACGAGGTTTGGTTTGTTTGTTTCTTCTTGTTACATTAAGCCAAAAAAATGGTTTAGGAGAGACATACAGACACATACCATCATTATGTGTGATGGCAAGGTATGGCATTTAATTCCCTCTCTCACTCCCATTCCAGCTACAGTATATCTGTCTGTCTGTCTCGCCTTCAAGGGAACTCAGGCTCTCAACTGGCCCAGAATCAATATTATTATTATCGACTCTGTATTTTTCTGGCTAAATAAACTGTTTCAATATCAATAACTATACTTCATATCTCTCTCAGCCTCCCCTCCCCTCACCCCTCCCCTCACCCCCCGCCCCCTCATCATCATATCCGGTGAAGACTGGTCCAGATCACCACTCTGGCGCTAAATTCCAGGTACATCAGCTGTTGTTGCGTACCTGTGTTAATGAAACGGACTTACCTGACAGTGGAGGGAGGGAAAGAGGAGATTGGAGGGCAAAAGGGAGGGTGGGGATGAATGGAAGGAGGGAGGGGAGTGGAGGGAAAGTAGTGAAAGGAATGGTAGGAGGGGAGTGGAATACAAACAAGAAAAAATAGCAATAATAATTCTAACTTTACTTTCACACACA